CAACAAAAAATCAGAACGCCTACTAAGGAGGAAGATATATTGACCGAAGATGATGATATATACAACAAAACCAAATACATGCATGCATGGTGATGCACATGACAGCAGTGCTACAATAAATCACAGGTGACTGACAATAATGAAGCTGATGAGCGAAGGAGGTAACGCAGACTTGAAACTAAAGAACCCTTTATCTTGGATGAGTGAAAGCTACAGCCTACAGGGTACTAATATCTATACACACTGATAAGTGATAATTCAACTATGAGATGCCATAAGCTATGTCACTAAATCCACATGAGTGATCGAAATACCAAAAAACTAATAATGACTCCAAGTCTCCAACCGATATATCAATCACAAATACCAGCAAACTAATAATGACTCCAACCTATATATCAATCACAAACCAAGTTATCAGAACCAAATACAATAACATCAGGGCAAATTTTTTATATATACAAATTTAATTAATGGCCAAAATTCAGGCAAGTTTTTTTTGGTTTAAATTCAAAGCACAACAAATAAGAAGGCTACAACACTCGACTTACTTGTCGGCAGATCTTGACAAAATGGAATCAAAATTCAAAATGGCATCGGCAGATCAGAATTTAGAAGTCAGAGCCTGCATGAAAGAATCAATAGGCAAAGCTTAACAAAATGGAATAACAAACGCAGCGACGGAATCGAAAATGCAGAGGCAGCAGATTTATATCGATGAGACGATGATGGAATAAAAAACGCAGATCAATCGAAGAACAAAATGGAAGAAGAAGGGAAGAAGGGAAGCGTGTGCGATTAGCTACTGGGTACCTGAATGTGCCGCTGTCAGCCCGTGCGCCGCCGTCGACTACCTTCTGAGTTCTGCTGTTTTCCGTTGCCGAGCGCCGACTGGAGAGTAGAGAACCTTGGAACTGGAAGGACGAAGTGAGGTCTTGGCTCTTGAGTGCTGAAAAGGAAATGGGAGATGGAAACGGGAGATGGGGACTGACCGAGTGGCGTCCAGAACCGAAGAAGAAACGGGAGATTGGGAGTTTGGGAGTTGGGACTGACGAGCCGAAGAAGAAACGGATGAGCCGAAGAAGATTGGGACTTGGGAGAGTAGTGACTTAGGTTAAATTTCTAACCCCTGTGAAATTACAATTTTAACATTAAAATAATAAAAAAAAAGAAAACAGGCTCAGGCCGCCTGACAGGCCTAACAGGCTTATTATCAGGCCTGAGCCTGGTCTGATAAAATAAACAGGCCTTTTCACAGGCCTGAGCCTGTTCTGGTGGTTAAATAGGCCAGGCCAGGCCAGGCCATTTACAGGCCAGGCCACAGGCCCCTGACAGGCCGCCTGGCCTATTCCCACCCTTAGTCGTGGGTGGCGAGAATGCGCAAGTGAGATGGGCAAAGGAAGAGGAGGAAGGTAGGCCTTTTGTAATTTAGTGATATTGACGCTCTCTTATAAGTGGGAGATTGCACATTCTATCCTATTTGTAACTTTAAGCTATTATTACCTGCCTCTTTAATAAAATAAAAAAAATTCATATGGAGGTGTGTATATAGACTTTGTTTTATATATATATATATATATATATATATATATATTATGGTTTTAACCATAGAAACTAGTTAATTGAAGAGCTTGTTTTGATCTGAACTATCATATATTATTTTTCTTTGTTTTTCTCATCTATTATTTTTTTCCAAACTACATAAAATTATTGCCCTGCAAAGTTGAACAGCAATTGTATGATTAAAAGGAGGGGTACTTTAAAAAAAAGATTTTTTTTACAAATAACCAATTTATTAATTATTTTTTATTTATGTAAATTAATTAAATAGCGGAAAAAGTATATTATTATTGATATTGATGTATATCATTGATACAACATTTAAGGGCAGTACAAGTGACTCATACACACAAGGTTTCTATTGTCATCACTTGCCCCTCCCTCACATGTCGATGAACACGATTGCGATTTCGATGGACTACATATGGGAAACCGAGTTGGGCAATCCGGCCGACTAATTGGTAGTATAAGCTGAACTGGAGGTATTGTGGGAGGGGGTTTGTTATCCCCATGATTTTCTCCTCCAGTTCCCCCCTGCAGGTGATTAATCAAATTTTTAATTAGAAAAATTAAAAAGGATAAAAATTGGGTATAATATACATAAGGGGAATTAAGGTTAAAAAATATACTACTTTGCTTTTTATGACCTTGGTCAAGAATGAAATGAACGGGGTGAGCACAGCCGTCACTGCTACAACGCCAACTATTATTGTCTGCGTCTTCTGAAGTCCATCACTGTTTTTACTTTTACGCTTACCTACACATTACAATTCATATATCAATTAATTAGATTTCTTTGTTCATAACAAATTTAAAATTACGCATCATACAAGGGATAATTTCAAACTGATTAAATATGATTAATCTTAATAATCAGGAAAAGACGACGTCGCAAATGATGAGGATGCTCTGTACCAAAATACCTACCTTTTTGTGTTGTGACTGCAAGCGGCCCTTTCATTGGAAAAATGACACTATCATTCTTGCTTTATTTGATATTTTGATTTGATTTGATTGTTTATTTTCATTCATATTACTGTATTAAAAAAAAAAAAACAAAACCACCACTATTCACGGTGGCAGAGCCGCTTACTGTTTTCATTGGGCGAGTAATCTCCACCTTCGGAGTAGCACGCGTAGCACTTGGCCAAGCCTACCCGACCCCACTGAGCGGGCCCACACTCTTCTCTTAGCCGTCCGATCGCATTTGAGAGGCAATCCTGGCAATCGGTCGCACTCAAATCCCCTACGCACTGCGCTATACCCTGCAAATTCCCCAAGCTAGTCGTTCTAAACGCCTTGTACACCCCATCGGACGTCTCCAAATACGACAGCACAGCATCTCTTCGAGTCAACCCATCCGAAGTAAACGCAGTGGAAGGCCCGCATTTCTTAACGACCAAAGTCTTGTCCTCGACGCCCAAGAACTCGGAATCATCATACATAACGAAACAACCGTCGAGCTGCAAGGCGCCGCCTGTGGAGTCGGGGCAGATGGTGCCAAGCTGGGAGACAGCCTGGGCAACACAGCGGGAGCATTCGGCAGCGGCAAGGTCACCGCGACACTGGAAAAGGCCGTTGATGGGGGTGTTTTGTGTGGAGGAGGAAGGGACGGTGAGGTTGTTGTAGGAGGAGAGCATGGCGCCGTTGACGATGGAAGTGAGAAGGGAGCTGACGGCAGACTCATAGGCAGAGTCCGGCATGAACTTAGCCTGAGAGCAACTGCTATAGATGAAAGCCTGGGTGGAGGAGGAGGAGGAGGAGGAGGAGGAAGACGTTGGGGTTGCGAAGGATATGAGTAGCAGAAAAGGAGGAGGAAGAAGAAGAAGAGAAGGAAAGTGAGAAGAGAGCATTGACATGGTCGTGCGTGGTGGTGAAAATGCGTGAGTGAGATGGGCAGAGGAAGAGGAGCAAGTAGGCCTTTTTTATAGATAACAACTTAAAGCGATCGAAACAGCGACATGTGTGTGTGGGTATGCTTGTGTCCATAGTAATGATTATATGATGTCTTTGAAGAGAATTCACGCATGTGTATATACACAGTACACAGAGTATATGATTGCGTACGCCCAAACCAGGGGCACACGAGGTTGCCAACACAAGCTCCGACGTATAGATATGTATAGTTCGTTGCATGTATATTAGGCATAAGAGTTCCTTGGAATATTGTATTCTTTTTGTGAATCACAACAAGTAGACAATTCTTTATGAAAGTAATTATTTGGCAAGCACTAATTACATTAGAAATAATCCTGCCACTAGATGAAAACGAAACAGCCTAGAAATCAAATGAACGAAGAAGAAAGCATAGTATAATGATCATGGTTGACGATTGACTTCATATTAAACAAGCTTCCAATAATTGACAGTGCCTATTAGATTAACGAGGGGAAAGTCACTTTATAGGCTTCAATAATGAAGGCACCTTTGCATGATTGTTTATTTGTTTGTTTACATAATTGTTGTAAAATTTAATTTACACTGTTGTGCATGCGCGCGCGCGTGTTTTGTGAGGATTTTTCTCTTGGTCTTTTAATATCGCCACCACAACAACACACAGCACTACAACCGGTCAACGTTAGGGTTTAGGTTTTGTTGCCCTCTACTACTTATCCCCATCCTCATTTTCTCTTTAACCTTTTGTTTTTTTTTTGTCCAAATATACCTGTTTGGTGGTGGTAAATATATTAAGCAGAAGATATTTTTCAACTATAGAAACTAGTTAATTGGAGAGTTTGTTTTGATCTTAACTATAATATATATTAATTTTCTTTGTTTTTTCTCATCTATTATTTTTTCAAACTGCATAAAATTATTGTACTGCAAAGTTGAATGGCAACTGTATGATTAAAAGGAGGGGTTTTTTGTAAAAAAATATTTTTTTTACAAATAACTAATTTATTAATTATTTTTAATTTATGTAAATTAATTAAATAGCGGAAAAAGTATATTAGTATTGGTAATGATGTATATCATTGATACAACATTGTAGGGCAGTACAAGTGACATATATATGCAAGGTTTCTATTATCGTCAATGAACATAATCCAAAGTCTCTCACATGCCGATGAAAACGATTGTGATTTTTTGTTTAAATGAGTTAGGTTTCGATGGCTTACTAGATTTCAATGGACTAACTATGGAAAACCAAGTTGGGCCTACACGGAATTCAGCCCACTAACTGATCTCAAATAAGGACCTTTCATGACTGTAATCTGAAGTTTCATGTGACTATCGCGGATGACTCGTAAAGTAACTGCTGTAGCTTTTGGGACAAAAAAAGTAGAGGTACAATCACTGGCCATCCATTTGTCCGTAAATTTTCATGTCACTGTATTACAAAATTGTTAACCGAGGATGCTAATGGTACAAATGAAACCCAACACCATTATTCAACAATTCATGTCCATATTTTAGTTTTGATGAAAGAATCTGTAAAATTAGAGGGTAGTGTTGGAAGAGTGGTCCTTTTCCATCTGATGAAAAAAGGTACCATCATAAACAACTCTCACTGTTTCTTTGCGTGGTAAACCATTCTTGTCTTTGCAAAGATAATACAAAAATGTCCACTCTGCATAGCTACCAACCCTGTAGTAAATGACAAAAAGGTTAATTGATTAATGATGAGTTATTACCATCCACAGTAATCCTTAGGATCTTTGTTTGCCTTGGGCATGGCTGACACTTTATCTGATGTTAAAGCATTTGTGTGGTATATACAAACATATGTAAGTAAGATTGGCGATTGAATGAGAAATGCTGTCCAGATAAACAGAGTAAAGAATCATAGCTATCACTTTATGTCTATATTGATCACGTCCTAAATAGAAAATATTGCATCAATATTATGAGCAAGAAAAAAAATCATCTCAAAAAACTAGCCTATGGTGGTCGAGCTTCTTAAACTTATTAGTCTTATTTCTCTTGTAACACTTCTCAACATGAGACTTGTAACAATGCACTCTGCCTTCAACACTTCCAATGAAAGCACTAATATTGCAAGCACAAATTTAAAAGACTAGCTTATTAGATGGTAGAACCTTTTGAACTTATAAACCACTTCATCATGTGAGTGGATCACTTGAAAATTATCAAGAAGAAGAAATGTTTAGAAGAACAACTCACACGAACCTTCTTTGAGAATCATAAACACCGGAGTCGCTCCCATGCTTGCCCCCCTGGACATTTCTAACTCTAGTTGGTAAAAACAGAGAAGGGCATTTTCCCTGCACCATTCATCAATAAGAATCCCACTTAATTGTCACTTATCGACATCAACATATCTCCTTATATTCAAATACAACCACGTTGAGAACTATGCTAGAAAAGAAAAGATAAAGTTACAAGGCGAGTTTTCTGACTGAGAGCCAGATGGAGGAAAAGTGAAAATACAGAAGACAAGAAGATGCCGCAACCGATTGCATGAAGCCCTACGTTCACAAGATTCAATATGATTACTGTTAGTCAATATTCCTCCTTGAATTTGTTTCCATCTACAAATTCCTATTTGATTCACCTCGTAAAGTCTCTCAGGGGTAGACGACGCCGTCCTGGTTCCTGTCGAAGAAGTAAGTATGCTTTTGCAGAACATTTTGGTGGGGCTCAGCAATTGAATCTGATGCTGCTGCTTGAAAACCTGCTGGAATATCACCTTGAAGGTGAAAATGGAGTAATTAAAGTATATTGCCAAGTCAAAGAATAGAAGTAATTAAAGATACCCTCTTGATTGTTACTTTCAATGGAAGCCACGGCCGATTGGCTGAGATGAGTGGGAGACAATAAGGAAGGAAGTGATTTGTTAGGGAAGAGAAGAAAGAGTGGGCGTGTTTTTAGAGAAGGAACAGGTTAGTAGCTCAAAAGACTCCATTCACGTAGGCAAGAGACGTGAGGGAAACTGATCTATTTCTATTTATCTATTTATTTATGAGTATGATTGTTTTATAATTTTTTTTGGCCAAAGATTGTTTTATGAATTAACTCCAACTGTTATTTCATTTCATTTTTTTAGTGTTTCATGTTTTTGTATTGACATGCACAATGATAATTTTTCGCAAACAATTATGAGTTACTTTGTAAAATATCAAATATACTTTAACAAGTCATTAGTTAAATAATGACAACAAATTTTGATATTTCTTATTTGACATTTAATAATTTTCAACTTTTTTTGTCATTTTTTAATTTTTTAATCATGATTTACCTAAAACGAGATAAATATACCAGAAGAATTCTCTCTTGACTTATGTTAAACATGTTTATAAGTGTTTATAATCATGATTCCAAATGACCAGTTAATGTAATTATGTACAGAAATTGACCCTCATACTTTTGCTATCACCAAAACTTCAACCCCTCACATTTTTCCAAATCTTTTTTTAATAAGCATATACATCTTTTTATTAAAGATAATTCTATTCGAGATATTATCGAGCACTAAATATGAGTATCTCTTCTAACAAAAATTTTAATTTTCATTAATCATGTTATAAAAAACTAGTCTTTTTACTAAATCCAATCCCCGTTAATACATATTCTTCCAAGAGATGTGCCTGAGTGCTTTCATGAAGGCGTTTTCTTAGGACCCATCCTCGTAAGTGAAGATCTTGATGTGCTGTTTTCCCACAACATCTAGTGGACATGCGGAGTCAGCTTCAATTCAAATGCAGGTTCAAAGCAAGACAACATTTTGTTTACCCAAAGTATGAGATGATCTAGGGTGTTTGATTTAGCTTATTTTCTTATTTTTAAGTAAATTTTTTTCAAGTAAGTAATTTTATACTTCACAATATATATACACATACACACACAAATGAGTTTTTTTGTCAAAAAAAAAATCCAAAGTACTTTTTTTCCCCATAACTTTGAAAGATCCACTGACATTTTCCCTTTTGGTTCGGATGACCGTTCACTTGAACCTGGAAAAAATTGTGATACTACTCATAAAGTGACTGTTATCTGCCTCAGTCTCTTGCTAATGAGAAAAAGAAAAAGAAAAAAAGGAAAAGGTTTCAAGTGCTCAGTGATAAGCGAAAATCAATTACTTTAATTATAAGGAGGGGAAGGATTAAATAAATGAGGCCCACTTTGGCCCATCTCATAAATCTATTTTATTTTGATTTGACATTATATTGTTCATTTTTATCTTTATGACTTCGTAGTTGAACCTAATGATCATGGCTCATTGCCAAATGTCGCAGCGTATTCTTTCACAACACCATCTTATACTTTTCCACATATATAAACAAATACAACATATCAAATATAGGCAAAATTTGATTAAGAAAAAAAGCAATATGTATCAACATTATTTTCTTGTCCAAAGTGGTTGATTAATCAACATTAGTTAAAGGGATTTTTTTTTTTTTTGAAGATGTGCCGTTGCCAGGGATTTAACAGATTGGGACAGAACCAAAAGAAACAACCATGGTTTGAGGGAAGAGGTAGAATAAAAGAAGATTCCATGGAATTCGTCTTGTTATAATTATTTAGGTCCCATATATAATAGTACTCTTTTGGTCCTATTATGAGACAGAGAGAGAAAATATTTATTTGTCTTATTTATGAGTTACTTCATTAAATTTTTATCATAAATGTATTATATTGTCATTCATTTATTATAGTATAAATAATTATTTTTTGAAAAATATATATATTAAATATTGATAAAGTTGAAAGTTGCTATGTTTTAATAAAAAATTAATACAGTTTAAAGTTTCCCTTGATCTATATAAAATATGTTAGAAGTGTTTTATAAATAAGACCAGAAGAACATATGGTAACTTGCTGGAGTATAAAATTGATGATTTGTCCAATCGTCCTCTTAAACTAACGACGCTCCCCTCTATGTCGCATAATATAATCGAGTAATGATGGCTTCCTTAATCATAATCTGCGAGATTATAAACTGACACATCATATATTTAATTTAATTCAATGATGCCTTCTCTTGACCAAAGCCCCCAAAAAAAATATTATATATTCTTCGAACGCCAACTTTTGGTCAAAACTCAAAAGTATTTTTAAACTCACAGTGCACAATTCTTATTAATTTGATCAGCGATAATTGAATTAAGTGCAAGTAACTCAACATTCGTATGATGTTTATCAGGCATTATATACATGGTTTTATTACCAAACAAAATTATGAGACTAGGGTATTGAATTACAAGTTGATTTTGAAAGTTTTTAAAAAATAGTATATTTTATTTTTTAAATTCCGGGTTAACGTACTGTTCACTCATATTTTCATTTATCATTGCCATACTATAACCGTATCAAATATTTAAAAAAAAAATCATTTTTCCAATAAGAAGAATTCGAATCAATCATGTCTTTCTCAACAACAAGGAATATATATACATTATACAATATATATATATATATATATATAGAATTTGAACGTATTAAATATGAGTATATAATTTAAAATTCACGTAGAATTCCGAGGTCAAAAAAAAAAATCACATGTAATTTATTATCTTGTCTTTTTAGAAATCAGGTTTTCTCATAATTAATAAGAAAATGTTTCGTGTATTATATAAGATAATATTTTTTTTTTGGGTGATACTATTTTCGGATATTTTAAAATTGATATTCATACGTTTAAACTTGTCAGGCTGTTCTTCCAATGGTTTTTGACACAACGGTCCATTCTTCAAAATTCCCACTAAAAAACTAATCTTTGTAGAGGTTTGGGCCCACTTGGAAACTCGGCCCGAAGAATGCACGCTCATAAATGAAATTCGGCCCAACTTATTCCTAAGGCTTTTGCATTCTATTTTCACATATTTAGTGCTCGACAGTAACTCAAACAAAATTATCTCTATCAAGAGGATAACTGTGCTTACCAGGGGGAAAAAGAAGAAGAAGTGAAAGGCCCTTCATCATTCATACAATCATAAAAGAAACTAACTAATCACATCTAACTAACTCTCTTCCTTCTTTCAACATATTGTACAAAAATGTGCGGTCTGTTGCATTTTGTTCCTAAAAACTCTATTTAGAACAACTTATAAGTTATTTTTTAATTGTAATTTAAGAAAAATAAAATAAGTATGTAAAAAGAGTTTTATCCTAACTGACAAAAACATATTTGTAAGTGCTTATAATCGTGATTCCAAATGGCCTCTTATTGTAATTATGTACAGAACTTGACTCTCTCATACTCTTGTAGCCAATAGAGTTTTAGCTCTTACAGTTTTCCAAATATTTTTTAATAAGCACATCCATTTTTTTATTAGAGACAATTCTGTTTGAAATATTATCAAACACTAGATGTGGACACATCTTCCAATGAAGATTTTAACCTTTGTTAGCCATGTTACGAGGGACTAAATCTTCTGCCAAATCCAATAAATTAGCCGATCTGCCAAATCCAATAAATTAGCCGAACTGGAAATATTACGAGAGTGTACTTGTTTTCCACGTGAATTTCTTGTTTATTTTCCACATGAATTTCTGCTTTATTTACCACCTGCAGGTGATTAATCAAATTCTTAATTAGGAAAATTAAAAAGGATAAAAATTGGGTGCAATATATATAAGGGAAATTAAGGTTAAAAAATGCTTCCTCTGTCTCATTTTATAAGCAACAATTATCATTTTCCTCTTATTTCTAAATATAAACAATATTTACAAGTTGTCTTAAATTTTTGTAGCAAATTTCCTATTTTGCCCTCATTAATTACTTATTTTAATACTCAAAATATTTATTATCTCATTTCCCATATCATCATCTCTTTATCGCACAGTCTCTCTCTTCTATAATTCTCTTTATTATAATAATTTTCTTATTCTCTCTCTTCATCACACAGCCATTTAAATTATGTTTAGTTTTATATTAACAATCTTTTTTTTCATTTCTTTGAGGCTTTCGAATTTAATTCACTTAATCAATTTCACTTCTTCGTATTAAATTAATTTAAATTTACTGTATTATGTTAATTTATTTTTTTATCATGTTGCACTTCATTTCTTAAATATTTTTTATGATTTCTCTAAAGTTCTTAATTCTAATTCACTCATTAAATTTTACTTCTTCATTATATTATCTCAATTCAATTTTTCTTCTTCTTTCACTTTCTATTTAAAATAATTTTTTTATTTCTCTAAAATTTTAAAATTTAACTCACTTATTCATATTAAATTATTTTAATTCCATTGTATTATGTGAAATTATTTTTTTTCCATTTTTTATTATTTATTAAAACTCATGCCCATTTTGGTCATTTTACAACCAAACTTATTTTTACTCAACCATAATCCAAACAACTTTTAACCAATCTCACATTTACAAACGGGCTTTTTTGAACTCTAATCCAAACATAATTCAGCTTATCCAATTTAGCTTTTACCCTACTTCACTTATTCATGAGCTGTTTTTTCAATAAGCAGTTTTTCCAATCGCTGATCCAAACGGGCACTCAATCTTCTTGATTCTGTGTGTTATGTGTAGTCTGAAAAATGAATTTCATTGTTCATAACTTATAAATATGTTTTGACTTGTTAGGATTTTTATATTATATTTGGATTTATGAATCTGGACTTTCTTAAAACTTCATACGGAGATCCTTTGGCTGTTGCTGAGGTAAGGATTCTTGACATATCATAACGTGAAACAGAATTCTGATATTCTTCCTGTTGCCTCACCGCTCGTGTTTATGCCACTCCTTGTTCAGCTTCGTGCCGACCTCCATTTAGTTCGTTCTAATCTCAGTTCTAAAATGGCAGACGAATGCTTAGATTCTTCAGATGCAAATGAATCTGAATTATTTGGTGGTTTCAACTTTTACTGATTTTTGAGGAGATCTAAAGTCAAGCTTTTGTGTCTCTGTGGGTATCAATTGAAGCTTTCGAGAAATAACTAAATCAAACATGCGATCCAAGTCATGATGGAGTGCAAGGGGTGATTATTTTCTAACGGTCGTCTCATATTGGATTTCTATGCTTAAATCAGGAAACTTCCATGTGTGATGTAAAATTGAAGTGGGAAGTGTTTTAACTGGTCAAAAATAATTGTGTTTGAATATAAAGCCATCTAAATCATTTAGTTATTACTACCTCCGGTCCTTAATATTAGATCTTGTTTGACTTTTATTTTGGTCTTAAATATAAGACTCCAATCCACTTTGTTTCTCATATTTATATTTTTTTTTTTCTAAAATAACCCTTCTAACAATAATAGTTTTAATCAATACACTTGATTAGCAAGGATATTTTAGGAAAGACAACACCTATTTAAGACAAATAACTAACTCAACTTATTTTTTAATCTCTTTAAATTAGTTAATTGGTTTTTATAAGTAGGACATTTATTTAAACTATATTATCCCAGGAAGCTTGAATCCGTCAATATCCCCGCACTCTTGTGCGCCCCTTAATTTCCATTATTCCCCCAAGAATGAAACCCACTTATATGCAATTGCAAAAGCCCACAAGTATACAAGAAGGCCATAGCCCAAAGAACTCAGACCCAAAAATAACGCAACAAAAACAAACTTAGCCCAAAACGACACAAAGGGAGCAAGAACGGCAGCCCCCAGAAAAATCATGCTAGAAAACGTGGGAAATAAGACTTTTCAACCTGTACTTTGCTTCAATTGCTGATTCAACCCCTCAATTTTGATGTGAAACAACCTAATCCTTGTAGTTTTTAAATTTGAAGCAACTCAATCAATATATATAGTCTCTTAATTCAGCCATAATTTGGATAAACATGCGCACACGATTTCCCCCCGCTAGCTCTGCTTATTATTGCCACTACTTGCCAGCATTGGAACCTGAAAAAGAGGTCCCAAGTACAATAGAGGCCCAAAAAAACTCAAGAAAAGAAAAGTGCAGAAGACAGTTCAAATATTATTCCTACTACTAATGTGGGATTTATCCATTCTACAAGGGAAATACGGGGCTTGAATAAACTTTTTCTTTAATATTAATTTATTATGTATGAAGAGTTTGAATCTAAATTCTTATCTTACCAGTTTGAGTTAGGTGCAGGTGACTCCAATAATTTATGCAAGTACGTGAGGGGAACTCTCTCTCTCTCCCCCCCCCCCCTTTTTTCCCCTTTTCTCTCTTGGTACAGAGGGAACCCTTGTTGAAGCAGTGAATTTGTTGGCTAAGTAGTGATCTGAATGGCACCCAAATTTAATAATGGAGGCTGGTTCCTTATCCCTTTCACTTCTTTGTCAAGAAAATGACATTTCTCCTTTTTTTTTTTAAAAAGATTATATTCTTTTTATTTTTTTTAAATGAACCAGAGAAAGAAAAAATGGCTAAAGTTATCTTATCCTTATCACTAACACGATGGCCTCATATTCACACGGATATTATGTAATGGGTACCAACAAGACATTGAAAATGACCTCTAATCGAATCTCTTCCCTCATTGGTTCAATCCCTTGACGAAATTGCCCCTTATGGTCCCCGTTCCATGTACTTTTCCGTTCGAATCTCTTCCCTCATTGGTTCAATCCCTTGACGAAATTGCCCCTTATGGTCCCCGTTCCACTTAATTTTTCCATTTGTTGAAAACGTGCCTCTTACAACATTATATCTTTTCTCCTCCTCAAAACAAAATTATTAAATATATGTAAGGCACACCAAAAAAAAAATGCTAGCCAACAATTATTCAAAAAAATTATATACTTCTTTATAGAATTATATTTATATATACATCTTGAAAAAAAATTATAAATTTTCACAAAAAAAATTCTTTTTAGGATCTTGTTTCAAATTGGCCAACAAATCTGACTTGAAATTTCTTTTTTGAATCCACATTGACTTAATATGGTTGAGTTAGACCAGGTCATCCGCTATGAGAAACATTGTCGCCAATTCAAATGGTAAACGATCAACCTTTTTTTTTTCCCAAAAGAAAAATCCTCATGTGGGTTAATGGATTGGGCATTAACGATTCGCTCGAAACAAAAGGAAGAGCGAAATCTTAAACTGTAAGAAAATGGTTTCATTCTTCCCGTAATGATTTGGAAATTGACCAAACTTTTCTGGGGTCCACCAAAATGGGCAAGGAGAGCGATGGCGAATATTTATTCAATCAGGACTGGATTTTTGTGCTCAAAAAGAGCAAATCACAGAGTGGAATTGGGTGAGACAATGGACGCGACATTTCAATTTATAACCACTCAAGCCTCTTGAAACCACAACCACTCTTGTTCTTGTTTCTGTTCCCATGGGACTCAAATTTTCCTACGGTGCTTGTCAAGCCTCTTTTCTGACACAGACACCCCTTGCCTCCTGCTCTTTCTTTTAAGTATCTAAAAATTTTATCATCACTGAACTATTTTTATTATGCGTGTTTTTGAACCTAGAAACTTCCGAGCCAAGTACCAATCAACAGTTTTAATATTGTTTCAATATACAGAACTGTTATGTGCAAGTTTGTTGATACAGACATGCATACAGGATACGTCTCCACTTTTTTATCAAGTCAAACTGTCATGAGGTATTCATCTGTTGAAGTATTTTGTTGCCGCTTGTTCTGTTAACTTTAGCTGTTCCACTCACTCACTGACAAAGTGATGAATTGAACATTAGAATCAGACCAAATCAGCTTTTCAAAAAGTTCGAATCTTTGGTGGAAATGAATCTGCTACCGTCATTCCTTTCAACCTAATTCATCCAAAGACATTAACATGAAGTGAAGACTCAGAGTGGCATGATGCACGTCAAGAAGATATTTCACATAATTTGTGAAATAGTTACATAGTGAACAATATGTCATATGTGGTACAATCGGAAACTTAAATCCAACTAGTTCTTTGAAATAAGAAGGGAAGGCCCTAGAGCAACTGGCTCTGTCCTTTTAACACTTGTTACAAGGGACTGGATCTTCTGCAAACCAAGGAATTAGCCGAACTAGAAATATTACGAGAGGGTACTTGTTTTCCACGTGAGTTTCTTGTTTGATTTCCACCTGAGTTTCTTGTTTGTTTTCCACCTGAGTTTCTTGTTTATTTTCCACATGAATTACCACCTGCAGGTGATTAATCAAATTCTTAATTAGGAAAATTAAAAAGGATAAAAATTGGGTGCAATATATATAAAGGAAATTAAGGTTAAAAAATGCTTCCTCTGTCTCATTTTATAAGCAACAATTATCATTTTCCTCTTATTTCGAAATATAAACAATATTTACAAGTTGTCTTAAATTTTTGTAGCAAATTTCCTATTTTGCCCTCATTAATTACTTATTTTAATACTTAAAATATTTATTATCTCATTTCCCAAATCATAATCTCTTCATCACACAATCTCTCTCTTTTATAATTCTCTTTATTATAATAATTTTTTTATTCTCTCTCTTATACTCTCTTTCCCCTATAAATAAAGGCATTTTGGAGAAAGAACTTGTAATTTCTACACATTTATTGTCTTTAATTAATTTTAACTAATATTTTGATATAAGCTCCAATATTGTTTATAAAAAAAAACACTGGAGGGAGCATACCTCTTTGCTTTTGCACAGCTTGGCCAAGAATGAAATGAATATGATGAGCAGAGCCACCACTGCTACGATTGCTATGACACCAACTATTATTACCTGTGTGTTCTGAAATTCATCGCCGTTCTTGTTTTTACGCTTATCTACACATTACAATTCATATATCAATTAATTAGATTTCTCTATTCATAACAAATTTAAAATTACGCATCATACAAGGGATAATTTCAAACTGATTAAATATGATTAATCTTAATAATCAGGAAAAGACGACGTCGCAAATGATGAGGATGCTCTGTACCAAAATACCTACCTTTTTGTGTTGTGACTGCAAGCGGCCCTTTCATTGTTTTTTTATGAATTAGGAAAACTGGCACTATCATTCTTGCTTTATTTGATATTTTGATTTGATTGTTTATTTTCATTCATAGGATTCTTCATATAAAGTGATGTGTATGATTTATTAATTATGTTCTGCTTTTTCCACCACCAAGAAAGTTCAAATGGCTACTTTTAACTAACAATTGAAATATTTTGAAATACTCATACATAGAAAGGCATGAAGCATTCATGAATCAAAAGAGTAGCACATCAACAAGATCAAATAACGTATCTTTCTTTCTTTTCACTATATTATTCTTTCTTTTCCCTATTTTGAGAATAAAAGAGGGAAGGAAGGCAACAGAACTCAAAAGACAAACCTTTTAGACCGATAAATTTGGCAAGCAACCCCAATTAAATGGGTCCAAAATCAGACTATATCAAAATATTTGTCTTCCTAACAAAAATTAAAAAAGGTATCTCGAATAATCAGAACTTATGCCTCCTACCAAATGCCAATGGCCTTCATTTCCGCACCGACCCTTCTACGCCTTCATCGCGGCTTGAAACGTATATTGAAAATTATTCAAGCAAGTCAATTCTCACTAAATAATCACTCAAAAACTTCATAATAATAATAATAATAATAATAATAATAAAAGCAAAAACGAAACAGCAGAAATACCAAAACCACCACTATTATTCACGGTGGCGGAGCCGCTTACCGTTTTCTTCGGACGAGTAATCCCCACCTTCAGAGTAGCGCGCACAGCACTTGGCCAAGTATACCCGACCCCACTGAGCGGGCCCACACTCTTCTCTTAGCCGTCTGATCGCGTTTGAGAGGCAATCCTGGCACTGGGGTGCACTCAAATCCCCTACACACTGTGCCATGCCCTGCAAATCCCCTGAGCTAGTCGTTCTAAACGTCTTGTACACCCCATCGGACGTTTCCAAATACGAGAGCACAGCGTCCCTCCGAGTCAACACGTCCGAAGTCAATGCAGTCGTCGGCCCACATTTCTCAACCACCAAAGTCTTGTCCTCCATGCCCAAGAACTTGGAATCATCATACTTAACGAAACAACCGTCGAGCTGCAAGGCACCGCCGGTGTAGTAGGGGCAGATAGTGCCAAGCTGGGAGACGGCCTGGCCAACACAGCGGGAGCAGTCGGCAGCGGCAAGGTCGCCGCGACACTGGAAAAGGCCGCATATGGGGGTGTCCTGTGAGGAGTGAGGGACGGTGAGGTTGTTGTAGGAGGAGAACATGGCGGCTTTGACGATGGAAGCGAGAAGGTAGTTGACGGTAGACTCATAGGCAGAGCCCGGCGTGAACTTAGCCTGAGAGCAACGGCCAAAGATGAAAGCCTGTGTGGATGAGGAAGACGTTGGGGTTGTGAAGGATTTGAGTAGCAGGAGAAGAGGAAGAAGAAGAGAAGGATAGTGATGCGAGAGCGTTGACATGGTCGTGTGTGGTGAGAATGCGTAAGTGAGATGGGCAGAGGAGGAAGAGGAAGGGAGGCCTTTTTTATATATAACAACTTAAAGAGATCGAAACAGTGACGTGGGCATGGGGAGTATGCTTCTTTACGTAATAATGATTATATGACGTCTTTGAAGAGAATTCACGTACATGTATATGCACAGTACACACAGTATATGATTGCGTAAGCCCAAGCCACAAGCACACGAGGTTGCCAACACAAGCACCGACGTATATATAGATACGTATAGTTCGTTGCATAGATATTAGGTATGAGAGTTCCTTGGAATATTGTATATTCTTTTCGTGAATCACAGTAACTAGACAATTGTTTATGGAAGTAATTATTTGGCAAATACTTATATTAGAAATAATCCCTGCCATTATATGAAAACGAAACAGTCTAGCAATTTCAATGAACGAAGAAGAAAGCATAGTATAATCGTAATGGTTGACGATTGACTTCATATCAAACAAGCTTCCAATAATTGACTAGATCCTATGTTTATTAAATTAAAAGATTTTGATTCTTTTTCTCCCCTTCAAACACGTCTCAACATAATCTTCATACCTCCCACACTATGTTTATTAAATTAATAGATTTTGATTCTTTTTCTCCCCTTCAAACACGTGTCAACATAATCTTCTTACCTCCCTCGTCGTGTCTTTTATTATCTCTAAATAAGGAATATTTATAACTACACATATGCATCTATCCCATTTATGCATGTTTATCCTCTACCTACCATGGCTACCAATTAAGAAATTTTTTAAAAGAAGCTACTAATTTTTTCCAAAAGAAATAATGATGATGTGCAATTAAGATTCCTGCTTCTGTGCGATCAGAGAGATGGGTGGTGGGTGGATAAGCGAGCATGCATTGAGGCTTGAATCAAAGGAAAAGGAAAATGTGAAGAAATAAAGACAAAAAAAAGAAGAAGAAGAAGAAGAAATTAAAGGCAAATGGAAGTAAAGTGGAGAATTAATTAGGGGAATTGAAGGTCAATTCATATGCTTCAATGATGAAGGCACCGTGTTTGCATGATTGGTTGTTTACATGATTGTTGTAAAATTTAATTTACATTGTTGTGTGTGTGTGTTTTTTTTTTTTGCACGTGAGGATTTTGGTCTTGGTCTTTTGATGTGCCACCACAACAACACACAACACTACTACAACTCGTCAACGTTAGGGTTTAGGCCTTTTGGTCCTCTACTACTTATCCCAACCTTATTTTCTCTTTAACCTTTGTTTTTTTCCAACGTACCTGTTTACATGATTGTTGTAAAATTTAATTTACATTGTTGTTGTGTGTGCGTGTTTTTGCACGTGAGGATTTTTGTCTTGGTCTTTTGTGTTGTGTATGTAAAGGGGTGTGTCAAAAGTGAAGTCCCACATTGTCCAAGAGAGAGGGAGCTCAAGTGTATAAATACTATCATACATTATTGGGCTAATGAATAGGTCTAAAGGAGAAGGAGGATCTTGCGCACATAACAACAGCCCATCGGAGGGAAATACAGTTGAAAACTGTCGATTTCCCTCCCTGTGCATGAATTAGAACAATACCGGGCACTTTTTATAAAACATTTTTGCAAAATTAAATTATAAAATGGTGATAAGAGAGCTTATTAGAAAATCCTTCTTTTGACCATTTATTTTTGTAACAGCCAAAGGTTACTGAATGTTGGGGGTTTTCAAACCGTGATTAATCCTCCATTAATCCTTAAACCATTTCTCATGGATTAATGTTTGGTAACGTCTGGAATTTATTTCTTAAACGTACCCAACGTTCATAACCGAAGGTATAATTGCAGATTATTGCAGTAACGTATGAAACCGATGAGTTAGTCGTGTTTATGGTGGTGCCCAACGGTTAGGTCCCCGAGGCCTATATAAAGCGGTCCAGGACAATGTGTTTTGCACCCCGCTCTTGAGTTTTCGAGCATCTGTTCCTCCTCTACGTTTCTCTTCTTCCCTCTCTGTGTTTCTGTACTGCTGGGTTATATTTTTCTATTGTTTTGTCACCCTGTTTTCTGCAGGAAGGTTTCGTTTAATCCTGGGGAGTGCTGCACTCACGTTTACCTATGGTGGTGGAATAACTCTTAAGGACAGTGTTTACCGGCACAACTCAAACCTAGCTGATACACACCTCCAGTTTCCTCAACAATCTTAAGAGTTAGTATGGAGTCCCGTAATGATGCTACTGCTGGGAACACTAACCCTACTATCAACGTTGCCCATGCTCCTGTCTTCACTGCAGTGCCACTACCTAAGCCATTCCTAGATGTCTCCAAGATTGATGTGTTCGATGGAAAGTACTTTAGACGGTGGCAGGAACGTGTGTACATTGTCCTTGACATGCATGGAGTTGCTGCTGCTCTTACTCAACCTGAACACCCCACTGATGCTGACCAGGCCCAGAAGAATGCTTGGGCAAATGCCAACAAGGTTTGTCGACATACACTCATTAGCACTTTATCTAATGACTTGTTCGATGTCTACTGTGTATACAAGGAGGCACATAAAATATGGGAGTCACTGATCGTGAAGTAGACTGCTGAGGATGCTGGAAAGCAAAAGGTCGTGGTTGGGAACTTTTACAAATGGGAGATGGATGAAGAGAAGGATATAAAACTTCAAATTAATGAATACCATAAGCTATTGGAAGAGCTCCGAACTGAGAAGATAAATTTACCAGATGAGTTTGTGGCCAAGGTCCTAATCGAGAAGCTACCAAACTCATGAAATGACTATAAGCAACAACTAAAGCATAAGCAGAAGTAACTTTCACTATCAGACCTAATCACGCACATCATTATTGAGGACACAAACCGGAAGGCAATCTAGATAGCTAGAGGAAAGGAGTTGGCAACAAAGGCAAATTTGGTAGAAGCAAAGTCGCAGGACAAGAGGTACAACACTAAACCTAGAAATAAAAACTTTGATTACAAGCCTAATGATTCTAACCCCAAATTCAAGAAGAAAGGAGATTGCTTTGTGTGTGGAAAGCCAGGTCACCACACAGCTCAGTGCAGGAAAAGGCCTGGTAAAAACAATAACCGTAAAGGTAGAAATCCTCCTAAGCCAAACGTAAATTTGGTAGAAGGAGATGACGACAAGATTATTGATGTTGTCTCACAAGCCCTTGTGATCTCCGATGTGAGGAAGTGGGTGGTAGACTTAGTGCTACCAGGCACATCTGTGCGAATAAGGACATGTTCACCTCCCTTGAAGAAGGAGAAGACTATATTTATCTGGCTGATTCCCGAACCACAAAAGTTCTGGGAAAAGGAAAAGTTGTCCTGAAACTCACGTCTGGAAAGACCTTAGCACTGAATGAAGTTCTGTACGTGCCTGATGTTAGAGCTAACCTGATTTCTGTGGCTCTGTTAAGGAAAGCTAGGATTAAGGTGTCATTCGAATCTGACAAGATTGTAAGACAAAGAATAATGTTCTTGTTGGGAAAGGCTACTATAATCAAGGATTGTTTGTACTGAACATTGCTGAAATGAATGGAAATGCTTCTTCTGCTTACTTGCCTGTGTTCTATATTAATTCCTTTTATATGTGGCATGCTAGATTAGGACACATAAGTAAATCTTATATAAAAAGGCTTTATCATCTAGGGCTAATATCATGGATTAAAAATAATATTCTTAATAAATGTGAGGTATGTGAAGAAATAAAACAAACTAAAAAATCACACTTTCCTATTCAAAGAGAAACCGAGTTGTTATCCTTAATACACACTGATCTAGGTGATTTGAAACAAACTGAGACTAGAGGTGGTAAAAGATATTATGTAAATTTTATCGATGATTTTTCAAGGTATACAAAATTATATTTGTTAAGAAATAAAGACAAGGCTTTTGAAAAAATCTTTTCATATAAAGCTGAAGTAGAAAATCAATTAGACAGAAAAATTAAACGAGTTAGATCTGATAGAGGAGGAGAATTTTTACAATTAAATGAATTTTGTGAAAAAGAAGGAATAATTCATGAGGTAACTCCTCTATATTCCGCAAAATCTAACGGTGTTGCGGAAAGGAAAAATAGAACACTAAAAGAAATGATAAATGCTTTACTTGTAAGCTCTGCTACACTAGATAACCTTTGGAGAGAAGCCATTTTGTCTGCTTGTTTTCTACAAAATAGAATACCCCATAGGAAAAAAAATAAAACTCCTTATGAATTATGGAAAGGCTTTGTACCTAGTCTTAATTACTTAAAAGTGTGGGGGTGCCTTGCAAAAGTTCTATTACCTGACCCTAAAAAGAGGAAAATAGATTTTAAAACTGCTGATTGTTTATTTATTGGGTATGCTCAGCAAAGTACAGCTTATTGTTTTATGGTTTTAAAAAGTGATGTTTTGGGTCAAAATACTATTATTGAAACTAAAGATGCAGAATTTTTTGAACATATTTTTCCTTTGAAAGCTAAGCGTATCCCTAGAATTTTTGAAAATTCTTCTGAGCAAAACTCAAATGAAAACGTAGTAGAGAGTCTACGGAGAAGTAAAACGCAAAGAAAGGAAACCTTTTTTGGAGATGATTTCTATACTTATTTAGTACAAGATGAACTTAGAAATTTTTATGAAGCGACCTCTTCTCCAAACTCACTGTTTTGGAAAGAAGCAATTCAAGCTGAAATTGATTCTTTAAAACAAAACAAAACTTGGGTTTTAGTTGACTTGCCTCCAGGAGCAAAACCAATTGGCTGTATATGGGTTTTTAGGAAAAATATTTTCCCGATGGTTCTATTGATAAGTATAAAGTAAGGCTAGTAGCCAAAGGTTTTACACAAAAAGAAAACATTGATTACTTTGACACCTTTTCTCCAGTGACAAGAATTTCTTCTATAAGAATTCTCATTGCTTTGGCTTCAATTCATAAACTCTTTATTCATCAAATGGATGTTAAAACAGCTTTCCTAAATGGTGATTTAGAAGAAGAGATTTACATGGTACAACCTGAAGGTGCATTG